CGAGAATTAGAGTGAAACAGAATTCCCCTCCCCCTGCCCCCCACCCCATAGAGCCAGTTTTACTTGAGGATATCCCTCAGCTTCAGCTTTGAGGGAAAGTGCCACAGCAGCAGGAGATGCAATTCTGAGCTGTTAACTGTGTACCCTGAAGCATCTCTTGCCTACTCAGGTGAAGCTGTGTTCTTATCACAGAGGAAAGAACTTCAGGATGTCAGTACAAAGCAAAGTTAGAATTTATTAAGCAAGGGGCAGACTTACAGAGACAGGGTGGGTGGAAAGCAAGACGTGCACCCAGCAGCAGCTACACGTGTGATTTGTAGCTTCTGAAATTGTAATATTCTAAGGGCGTCACTTATAACTAAGTTTAAGGATCAAGCCAAGTTTTAAAGTTAAGTGAAGAATTATCTGGCTTGCTTATTTCTCTTTTTAGAGAATTCCCTTTTGTGAATTTCAAGGTGGTCAATGAGAGCACCTTGTTCAGATTTGTAGATGAGAAAGTGCTAGCAAGACCCAAAGGTCAAAGGTCATGAGGTTAAAACACACCCCTTGACCTCAAGCATGGCCTATCAGCTGTTTGAATACTTTTTCAAGGGATATTTCTCAGAGAATGGAGTAGACTTCTTTGCAGGCAGTCGCGCAATGGTTTGGTCAAGTGTGTTGAAACTTTTTGACTCTCAGCCAGTGAGAGACCTAAACTGGACTCTTTCTCATGTCTGCTTAATTTCCCCTGTGTTTTTAATTTCCCCTCAGAAAGTGGCTTTGAAACCGCATCTTTGTGGTATGTTTCTGCTTCTCTCCACTATTCTGTGAAGAAAGCTGGCCTCTCTCCCGCCCAGCGTCCTGAAACCTTTTCCTATACGGTAGAATTGCAACTAAAACCCAGCTGAGGTCTCTGGGCCTGATACAGTTTTGAGTTGAAGGAAGTATTCTTTCTGTGAGGTTGAAGAGAAGCTAATTATTTCAATGACCAGCAATTCCTAGAAAAAAAATAAGATTTCGATGAAAAAGATACAGACTGAGAGGTCAGTGCTTTTCTAGCAAATTAATTCCAACAGAAGCTTCTAGAATATTACCTCTAGCTCTTTGCTTTATATCTTTGAATACCCATTAAAGTCTAGGAATAGTATCCATTCAATCAAGTTCTTATGAGCCCCTCACTATGTGCTGAGTAGTCATGGGAAGCAGAGCAGAGGCCCGTCAGACATTTGCCATATACTTGCAAAGCCCACGTATTCTCAGAGAAACACGATAAGCAAGAAAAAATGAGTGTGGTTACAGTGTGAGGTGAGGATTTAGTAAGGCCAGTGGCCTGAGTGTGCTATTTGAAAGATCAGGACGGCATTTCAAAGAAAAGTGGCCTCTGAGCAAGGGCATGGAGGGAGGGAAGGGACGGGGACATCGTGACAGGGGTGTTGCAGGAGAAGGCCCTGAGCAAGAAAGAGAATGCCTCATTGTTCCGAGAAAAAAACAAAAAAGATCTCTCAGCCTCTGGTCCGTGTTAAGATTCCCTGCGGTTCTGGGGCAGTTCCACTGTTTATATAAAGTGTCATGTTATCAGTTTCACTCTTTTGGTGGCAAGTTGGGCTTTTATTTAGGACTCTGAGTCTACTATGGAGGTACTACCTCGTCTGTAAGGATGGAGGATGGTCCACCAGCCACAGGAATGAAGAGGTTGTTATGACGGGAAGCAGGAAGGAAGGGACGTGGAGTAAGAGGCATGTTCACGTCTGTTCCCCATTACAGCCCTGGCTTTCCTCTGCCTGTCTATTCCAGGCTGTTTTCCTCATTTATCTTTTTTTAGTTCAGCTGCTTTAGCCAGCGAAGCCTACCTTCCTTACCCTACCTGTGATGGAGGAGACTCCGTGTGGGGACCGTTCCCTCACTGCCCTCTCATTCTGCGTATCCAGGCAACAGTGGGACAGCCTTGTGGAGGAGAGAGAGGTGACAGAGGAAGTTGGGAAGGGAACAAGGGCTGCCCGGACACAGGAGGACATAAAGCACCAATATTCTGCCAGGAAAGAGTTCCCTAGCCATTGTGGACAATATCTGAGTCCTGAGTCTGCCTTGAGCTTCAAGGAAAGGCTCATCCTCTTAACACACTAAGCAGCCTGCCCAGAATCACCAGGCCCTTCTCTCTTCCTTCTTCTAACTGGCTCAGGACTTGAATTTTACTGAAATTCAAGGCTACTCTGACCAAGTCACTAAAAACTCATTACAGCCAGGTGGTGGTGGCGCATGCCTTTAATCCCAGCACTCGGGAGGCAGAGCCAGGCAGATCTCTGTGAGTTCAAGCCCAGCCTGGGCTACCAAGTGAGTTCCAGGAAAGGTGCAAAGCTACACAGAGAAACCCTGTCTCGAAAGAAAAACAAACAAACAAACAAACAAAAACCTCATTACAAAAGGATGATGCTTCTCTTCTGAAGCTTAGAGGTTTCAGCTCTCAGCTGACCAATAGGGGCCTCTCCAACACACACACACACAAACACACACACACACACACTGATGCACACACAGACACAGAGAGGCACAGACACACACACACACACACAGGCATACACACGAGAGCGGGGAGGAGAAGGGGGAGAGAGAGGGGAAATGGGGAAAGAGAGAGGAGACAGAGAGAGAGAGAGAGAGAGAGAGAGAGAGAGAGAGAGAGAGAGAGAGAGAGAGAGAGAGAGAGAGAGAGAGAGAGAGAGAGAGAGCGCAAATGCAGTAAGGCAGTTTGTTGGAAGACTCAACAGACAGCTTGAATCGGGCAATTAAACTGCCATGGAAAACTCCCCAACGTTCTTTTCTAAACTGGTAACCTGACGCTGGGAGACAGCTTTCCTAGTTACTAAGTGTCCACTAGGTTGAGCCCTGGGCAAGCCCTTGAGAACAGACCCTGGAAACAACAACACACATTTGAAATTCTTTTGTATCAAAACAAGCTGTGAGGACAGGATGCAGTTGGAGGTCACTCTCTCTCCTCTGCCTGGACCCGGGTTACTATAGTTCACCAGGAAATAGTTTGGACCCTGAAAAAGCTCCAAGTCCTGCTTCGGGGAGCTCATGCTTCTTGGCTTCCTTGCTGCTCCTTTGTGACCAGAAGATGGCTGCACAACCACATGCTGGGCCACACTGCTTCTATTGTTCCCCTCAGAGCACAGGAGAACCCATGCTCACTGGTTCCTGATTCAGGATGAACAGCCTCCTGTGAAGACAGCCCCAGATGCCTGGCCTCCAGGGTGTGGTCCCTCTGCATCCTGAGGCTGAGGACCCGTGGAGACAGCTGCATGCAGAAGCCCCTTTCCCATGCCCTTTCTCATGCACACGCTGCCTCTCAGTCTCTCCATGTGTGGTGAGGACACCCATGGAGAAGAAGTGACAACCTGTGAGTCCTGCTGCTTTCCAGGAGTCCCCAGGGCCTGGTAATGTGGAAGGTAAGGAGGAGTCAGGGGTCTTCTGACACTGACAGATGCCAGCTGCTGTGTGGGACCCCAGGGATTTAATGGTGCCCAAAGTGGTATGACCCTCCCCTAGCTTAATCATTTCCATCTTGCTGGGTCCTGTCTTTTCCTTCAGTAGGAGGAACCCTGTCGTGACCACAGGATGCTAACACGGAAGGAGAGTGCAGCTGGGACCAGGTGCAGGAAGAGCATTGTGAGGGGCGGTGGCAAGGTGGTCACAACGCTTGGCCTGGACCCCCTTGTCTTGGTTCACAGCCCTGTGCTCTTTCACGGATGCCAAGCTTCACTCCTTAGTGGCACAGATTCAGTCCCCAGATGTGACTAGTAATGACCTCTCAACACCAGAGATTGGACATGTCCTGCTTAGATGTGACATCATAGGAACCACTATGAGGTCTTAGGTGGTCCGGACAGCGTGTAGGAACCTGTGGATTTGTCCAGTCCCTGAAGCTCTTCCTTCTACTATCCACCCTCACCATCTACAGTAAGATGTGTCTCTAGCACCCTTTGGCTGAAAAGTATTATAAAATTATAGATATGCAGGACAGAAAGGTCCTTACAGAGCAGGCAGTCCCCATCAACACTATACATTAAAAGCAGAGGCCGGGTTGAGTCAGCCTCCATAGCTCTGTCCACAGACCACTTGGAAGCCTGAAGATCTGAGTAGTGAATTTGAATAGTTAGCAGTTAAACTGTATAGTTTAAGCTGGAATGTTCAGCGTGCCTCTTCATTCACTCTCCACCCTGCAGAGGCTTGATTAGAAACTACTCTCCATTCACCAAGTTTCCAAGTCTGTAGCCATCTGGGTGTATCTGGTTTGTGGCAGGCCCTAATGTGACTGAACCAAAAGATCCCGTTTAAAGCATACCCCACTCTCCAGCTCTAAGGCATGCAAGGGAGGTGGGTGTGTTGTAAAGGGTGCAGAGAGAGGGGCTACAGAAGAGACATTGATGCTCTCAATTTTGAGCCCACCAGGTATAGATTGACAGGTCCCTTACATGTCCATTTCTAGTGAAGACCATACTGTCTTTCTCAGCCTCACAATGGAGAAACCGGCACTCACTGCAGTAGGGGTCCACCCTGGGACCTCACTGCAAGCCAACTCAGATCCTCAACCCTGGCCCTGGTACCTGAGTCACATTCCTGGCCAGGACTACATGGGATGCAGTATTCCTGTATTTCAGGAAATGAAATCGTTGATTTTTCATTTACACAAAAATGAAAAATAAATACCAGATGTTTGGAAACAGTATAAACTCATCTTGCTGGAACTTACAAGGGCATTTGGACCGAAAAGATGTCAAGTTAGAAAATCCACAAAGCAAAACAGATGTTTTGAATGAAAATGCACTCTCTCTCACTCTCTCTCTCTCTCTCTCTCTCTCTCTCTCTCTCTCTCTCTCTCTCACACACACACACACACACACACACACACACACACACACACATACATACACACACAAACAGTATCTCATTGTTTCTTCCTCAGGGAGCAGCTGTGAAGGAAATTAAGGAGGCGACAGACACAGCATCCCATCTTTGTGCCTCATACAGAGCTCAGCTTTGAGGCCAGCCTTCCTGAGCTTTGGGGGTGTGGCATGCATGACCCTCAAAGGGCAATGGCCTGATGGGGAGCTTATAAAGTGACTTGGGAGAAGCCAGGCACCAAAACAGGCACCTCACTTGGAGGCTTCTGTGTGGAAACTATCATCTTAATAAGAAAAGGTAAGTGCGGAGTTGTAACTTTCACTAGGATAAATGAGTTCAAGATAGAGAATGAATGCCTTGACTTCCCATTGCCCCCTTTCAGCTCTCCCGGTAAGTATGGACGGAGGGCTTTCACACTAGCTCTGCAGGAGCCATCTCCTCTTCCTTAAGCAAACTTGTAAGGTAGGTACTATTGGTACGTTTTCTGGTGACAGGTCGGAGGGGTAGGTAAGCCTGCGCTTGCCCTGATGGCTTCTCTTATTCCCCACCCTCCCCCTACCCAAAGGAGACCATGGGAAAATTGCCTGTGTGCCAAGACGGCACCAGTAGAATTCCCTAGAGCGATTCAACTGCACCTGATGGTAAGATCAACTGAAAACTGGCATTGATTGTGTGAACAGAGTATGGTACATTTGAACACAAAAACGTTTTGTTTAGATATGTGATTTGCTGGGTGTAGTGGTGTAACCTTTAGCCCTCACACTAGGAAATCAGGCATCACAAACTGTAGGACGGCCTGAGTTACAGAGGACAGCCTGGACTATGTAGAAAAAAAAAATAGAAAAGAAAAGGAAAGGGGGAAAAACGCAATTCTTGTTCGATTTGAAGGCTACATGGGTTTGTTTGTTTTTAAGGACTATTTACCCATGGAAATATTTTATTGTAACATGTGAAATCTCAGAATCTATTTCTAGAAGTAAACTCACCAAGACGATCTTCCTGTGATACTAGACAATGAGAAAATATGCACCGTAAATCATGCAACTTTTATCCAGAGCTATACATGCATGCCAATAGCATGACCTCTCTATCAGTGTTAAGTGAATCCAAACAGAAGGGACATGGAAAAATCAGCCTCTCCCCTCTCAAGGACTTTTGGCTGTAGGAAGAAAACTCAAACAACCAGACGCCATCGGCACCTCTGGAAACCATGTAGTCAATGGGAGTTAGCCTTGTTCTGAATCCTCCCACAGAACCGAAGGGTATGTTTCAGCCCACGTGAGAACATCTTGTAATAAGACATTTGTCAGAGTTAGACATGGGGGGGCTCACTTGTTATTGCTGTTGCATGGTGACGCAGGCCTCCTCGGGTCTCACAGGCAGGCATTCATTGAAAGGCACAAAGTTGGACGCAGAAGGGAACATGGCCTAGAGGCTATGGTTGGAGAGCTGGCCCTGTCATAGTCCTATTTCCTTCCCAGCCTCAGTTTCCCCATCTGCACACCTGGCCGGGGTAAGGGGGAGCTGGGTAGGTATCCTCTAAGGTCCTATCCAATTGGAAACACAGTAGAGTGTACATACTATGTGCCACATGCAAAGCCTAGTCCTTGGGAAAGCTCATTGACTTAGGCCTGTTGGGTAGAGCTACAAAGATTCCAAGAGCCCCTGAGAAAGGCTGCAAAGTTTTCTGAGTTTAGGTTGGACTTTTAAAACACAGCTGTAGTTTATATAGCAATGAGAAAGGGGGCCTGTAGGACTAAAGATGGTGGTCCCTCCACCGATTTGCTCAAGAGAACTTCAGCAGCCGCCCCCTCCCCAGCCCGCCCCAGCTGGCAGCTCCCACTCCTTACATAACTGTTCTTTTGAAAACCAGGCAACAAAACCTTCAGAAGAAAAAGCTATTGATTATTAAAGTTATTTGGAGGTTCAAAGACTCGTAATGAAGTGGTTATAATTATTCCTGTTATGACACATCCTTTTCAATGCTTGGAGCTGAGAACATTTGGTGTGCATTGACTCAGTCACCTTCATCTCGGAGAGAAAAGGCAGCGAGCTGGAAATAGCTCATGTGCGGGGAGAGGCAAGGAGTCACAGAACGGGAACAGAGGGAAGGCAAGTCAGGGGAAAGGGGCAGAGAGGAGCCCAAAGTGTCCGTCCATAGCCTGCACGGACGGCCATCACACTCCCCCGTCTATCCATGGTCCCTCCCCAGAGCCCGTTGTGACCACCAGAGGCCTTCCGTATGGAACTGACGTTGCTCTCTTCCGTATCAGCTGACCGGCCTTCTCTGGTTGAACGCACATCCTCTACAAAAACCACTCCAGTGGTCAGTGCAAACACTTGGGAAATACAATCCTGTTTCTGCCTTTCATAATAACAGTGCTAGTATTTAACTGGGCAAGGCGACACATGTCTTTAATTCCCAGCACTCACAAGGCAGAGGCAGGAAGATCTCTGTGAGTTCCAGACCAGCCCGGTCTACAAAGCAAGTTCCAGTTTAGCCAGGGCTAATAGTGAGATGCTGACTCAAAAATAAATAAGTAAATAAATTTTTAAAAAGCTAGTATTTACTGAGCACCTGCTTGGTGTCAGACACTACTATGAATATTCATATTCTCTCTCTCTCTCTCTCCCTTTCCAGGGGGTGTGTCTTTTCATGTCATTGGAGCTGGTCTTGAATTGGTGGACTCCAGAGTTGTCCCACCTAAGTCTCTCTAGTAGCCCCCTTTACCACCACACCTGGCTTTATTTCATCCCATTTTATTTTTGCAAAGATTCATGAGCTAGGCCTGACTGTTAGTCTTACTTTATTATTTTTATTTATTTATTTTTTTTTTTGGTTTTTCGAGACAGGGTTTCTCTGTGTAGCTTTGCACCTTTCCTGGAACTCACTTGGTAGCCCAGGCTGGCCTCGAACTCACAGAGATCCGTCGGCCTCTGCCTCCCGAGTGCCGGGATTAAAGGCGTACGCCACCACCGCCCGGCATAGTCTCACTTTATAAACCAAGAAACAAAGGCCTAACTTGCACAGTTACACTCAGTAGGTTGCAGAGGCAGAATTGGAACCCCATCTGAGTAACGCTGGGTTCCCCACATGCTGCTCTTGGTCAAGGTTCCTGGACCAAGCTTGGGTTGATAGGACAGCCCAGCAAGACGTTGGCAAAGATGAAGTGTGGGGGTCTGAGGGAGCATTCCCTTATGAATCTCACAGGACACTTGATGCCATACATGATTTGGATTTGAGCTTGATTTCTTCATTTACAGACCCTTGGACCTTTCGGAGCACTTCTTTGTCTAGCCCCTGTATACATATTATTTTTGTTCCAGAAACAAACCTCCGAACCTGACATTTCCAAGATTCTGGGAGTGTTCTGAGGAGAACTGGACAGGCGCCCACCCTAGGGAAATATTCAGTGAAGTGTGGGAGGGTGTGGGTTCACAGAGGAGGCTAATCCAGCAAGAGATGCTCTAAAAGAGGTGCTCAGTGCTCTGGGGTGATGGACTCACTGTGGCTGGATGGCCAGGCTGGCAGCAGCTGCGAGATGCAGCTCCTCAGTGCTGAGGAGAATGCCAGCTGAGGGACCAGGGCTGCCCACAAGGACTCTCCATCACTGTGTGTCCTAGGAGATCCAGACACCTCCAGCTGCATTATTTCTCCCTAGGCCTCTCCTGAAGCCACCCAGACCCAAGATGGTGACCATGCTGTTGCTCCTGGGCACACTGGCAGGCCTCTTCACTGCAGCCGAGGGACAAAGTTTCCATCTTGGGAAATGCCCAACTCCTTCAGTGCAAGAGAATTTTGACGTGCTAAAGGTGTGGTAACTCAAACCTCCCGTTTGTTTTGAGCATGCTGAGAGGTTCATTGTATTCTTTAATCTCCAAAGCAAGTCTTGGGGAAGTGTGGAGGTCTCTGCAGACACAGGCCAGCAGAGTAACAATCCATGTGAGGCAAGAAGGAAATTCGGTTCAACACGACTTAGCAGCCGGTGTTGATTCAAACTTCTAAAGTCTGACACCGGGCAGTTTATTTTAGTCATATTGAAGTACAGAGCAACTTGGAAACATTTTTTTCTTGGTGTAACACAATCCTGAGTGCACAAAGATGCATAACTACATTGAAACTTGCTCAAAGCACATGTCAGGTCTTCTATGAAGATGGGCTCTGTACATAGGCTACATGTATTATCTTAAGGGACTAGAGGAGGATCTGGTGTGGTCTCCATCATACAGATAGCACAGAAATCATCTAGTCTATTAGCCGCCTCTGGTTCTGGTTATGGGAACTTGCAGGGAGACTCTGGTCACACAGATAGTGCAAAGGTTATCTAGACTACTCATCATCTCTGGTCCTGGTTGAGGGATCTTAGGGGAGTGAGGTATGGCTTGGTCCTACAGACAGCACAGGGGTTACCTAGGCTATCAGCCACCTCCATCCCCAGCCTTCTGGGTGGAAAACAGGTTATACCTCTTTTCCTTGAAGAGTCAACCCTGTGTGTTTAACATTCCTGGCTTCTCTAGTGCTATCTGTACTCATAAGGACCTTTGTGCTCCCAACAGGCAAGGCACTTACCTTAATTTTGGGGTTTCCCTGAAGCAGTCTCTGAGGCCAGAAAGGGGACAGGGGGAGTCTTTGGTACCTCAGCTTGCCCCCTAGATGGATGCCAACAGGCTCTAGGCGCTCCCATGGCCCTGGCTGGGGAGAGCAGGGGGTGGCAAGCATGAGCTGTCAGTGTATGGGAATTGTCCCCCACCACTATGGGGAGGTGGGGGTGAGGGTATAGTGTGAACAGGGGCACTGACTATGGCTATTTCACTACTATTGTCCTACAGAGAGAGAAGCTGAGTGTCCTTCTCAAGTGACACAGGTAGTTAGTTCATGCCCATAGGGCTCAAAACTAGGCTTCCTGTCTTATAACTCGAGACAGGACCTAGGAAAGGCCAGCAGTCCCCCAGGGTCTTTTCTTGTTACCTACAAGACAACTAGCTCCCCATAAATGCTTCTTCTTCCTGGAATGAGGCAGAGGGAGCAGCCGAAAGGAGCAGCTATTAGATGACAGAATTCAGCGGCTCCCACGACTGTGGACGGCCTGAGTTCTAACCGTAAGGCCCTTCTCCTTAAAAGGTTTTGGTTGCTTTTAGGGAGCAGCACACTTGGTTTGAGAAACACTGAGATTATCAGTCACTGGAACTTTGGGGTGAGTGCTGGGAATGTTAGAGGGGGGGCTGGACAGAGCTGGGACGAAAGAGCTTAGTCATTCGAAGGGCGGAATAAGACGGCAGAGAATGCCCACGGTAAGAAAGGAAAAGCCACACGCTAAGGTCTGCACTGATGTTCTCCATTAAGATTTTAAGGATTCCCTTTAATTGAGTCAACCTGGAAAACCACACACACACACACACAACCTTTGTGATAATATCCAGGGAATTTGAGTCAGATTTTAGTCTGGGAGTAAAAATTCCAAAATATCCTGGAAATTATAGCTGATATCTTCACTTACAGAAGTCCTTTGAGAACTGAAGCGAAATGTTTTTAAAAGATTTAAAAAAAAAAATGTATGTGTATGTGTGTGCATCTGTGTGTGAATGTGCGTAAGTGTGCAGGTGCCCGTGGAGAGAGTGTTGGATCCCCTGGAGCTGGAGTTACAGGCAGTTGTGAGCTGTCCAATGTGTATGCTGGGACTTGAACTCCAGTCCTCTTTAAGAGCAGCAAGCGCTCTTAACTGCAGAGCCCCAAAGCAGAATTATTTTAAGGCAAAAATTGTATTAAGATTGGTTTATATCGCATATTACTGGCTTGTTCAAAAAGGTTTTTATTTCAAGGATTTTTAATACATTCGCTGTTATGCAACCATCATTAAATCAATTTTAGAACACTTTCATTATCCTAAGAAGAAAGCACAAACCCCCTGACAGTCTCTCTAGCTGGATTACTTAGACTTTTCATCTCCCTGACAAATACCTGAGAGAAACAACTTGAGAGAGGGAAGATCTCTTGTGGCTCCTGGTTTCAGTGTTTTCAGGCCATGGTTCATGTGGCCCACAGGCTTATGGTGAGGCAGAACATCATCGGATGCATAGGCAGAAGGCTGCTTAGCTTACGGTGGCCAGTAAGCAGAGAGAGCAAACAAGAGCCATCTCTCCCAGGCATGAACTCAGTAACCTGCTTCGCCTAACTAGATCCCTCCCACTTACCACCTACCAAGATTGCAAATCCATCAAGGGACTAATCCATTGATTAGGTCGGAGCTCTCAGCATCCAGTCACTTCCTCAAAAGTCCCACCGCTGAGCTCTGCTCACATCAGGACCAAACCTCCTAATGCTCGACCCTGAGGAGAAGCTTTACATCCAAACCAGAACAATCCTTTTCTTCCCAGCGCTGCCATAGCCACATGACCAATGCTTTCCTTTCTGTCAATATGAATTTGTCTACGGAATATACAAGGCTAGCTTTTTGTGACTGAAGGAGATGTTTTCAAGGTTCACCTGTGTCGCAGCTGCGCATCAATACTTCATTCCTTTTGTTGCCAAATGATGTGTGGGGTGATGCTACAGTGTATTTATCCTTATGGCTTGAGTTGTTTTACTTTTTTGTTTGTTTGGTTTGGTTTGGTTTGGTATATTCCAAGACAGGGTTTCTCTGTGTAGTTCTGGAGCCTGTTCCAAGACAGGGTTTCTCTGTGTAGCTCTGGAGCCTGTCCTGGATCTTACTCTATAGATCAGGCTGGCCTTGAACTCACAGAGATCTGCCTGGTTCTGCCTCCTGAGGGCTGAGATTAAAGGCGTGAGCCACTGCCCCCCTTTTACTTTTTTGTTGTTGTTGTTATAGAAATGCTGCTGCTGTGGACATTCAGGCTTGGGGACTTTTTGGAAGAGAGGGGCCTATGTTTTCAGTTCTTTGGGGTATACATGAAGTCGAATTGCTGACGTGGTAATCCGTGTTTGGCTTTTTGACAAGCTGATGGATTGTTTTAGAAGAGTTGCACCATTGTACATTCTTACAAACAGCCTCTAGCACTGATTCCCTTACCTCTTCGCCAGCAGTTGTACCAATGCCCTCTTTTCTTATAGGTGCTGTGGGGGTATTAAGCTGTATCATCTCCGTTTCCTAAGGCCTAATGGTGTTGGGTATCTTTTCATGTACTTATGAGCCATGTGGAAATCTTCCATCCGAATCTTTTGCCCTTAAAAAAAAAAAAAAAGGTAGGGGGTAAAAAAAAGCTGGGCATGGTGGTGCACTTGGGAGGCAGAGACAGGCGGATCTCTGAGTTTGAGGCCAGCCTGGTCTACAGAGTGAGTTCCAGGACAGACACAGAGAAACGCTGTCTTGAAACGCGCCCCCCAAAAGTCTTTTAATTCTTGATACTCAAATGCTCTTCCTCTATGCTAGATGAAAATCTCTTCTGAGATATGTTAAAATAGTTTATCCCATTTGATGGAACATTTCCCTTTATCGATATGCCCTTTGAAGCATGAGGTTTTTTTTATACCGGTAAAGTCCAATTTGTTCATGGGTTTTTTTTTTTGTTGTGTTTTGTTTTGTTTTTGTTGTTGTTGTTGCTTGTACTTGTGGGGTCAGACCTACAAACTTAAGTACCTAATTAGTAAGCATCTCATTAGTTCAATAGGTAGCACTAGGTCCCTAGAGAAGCCTTGCCCAATCCAAGGCTGTAAAGATTTACCCTTGTATGTTCTTCTCAGGGTTTTGAAGTTTAAGCCCTTGCATTTAAGCCTTTGACCCATTTTAAGTTACATTTGTGTCATAGAAGTATCCAATTCCATCTGCGTGTCTTTCCAGTATTTGTTAAAAAGACCAATTCTCCATTGGTAGTCTTGATATCCATAGTGAAAATCAGTTGACTGTGGATATGAAGTTTTATTTTCAAAACCTCAATTCTATTCTAGCTATGTCTATACTTACTCCAATTTTAATTACTACAGATTTGTCATAAGTTTCTAATCAAAATACAGGAGTCCTTCAACTTTATTCTTCTAACTATTCTTTGTCCCTTGTTTTTCCATGAGTTTTATGATCAGCTTGTCAATTTTTGCAGAGAATATAAAGAAGAGTATAGATAGAGTATTGCCATCCTAACACTCTCAGTTTATGAGCATAAGCTATCTTTCTATTTATAATTTTTTGTTTTTTTTGTGTTTTTGTTTTTGTTTTTCTAGACAAGATTTTTCTGTGTAGCCCTGGCTGTCCTGGAACTCACTCTGTAGACCAGGCTGGCCTCGAACTCAAAGATCCACCTGCCTCCCAAGTGCTGGGATTAAAGGTGTGTGCCACCACTGCCCGGCATCTATTTACCTTTTTGTCTTACCAATATTTTGCAGTTTTCAAAATACAAGTTCCTACATTTCTTTAGTTAAATTTATTTCTAAATATTTTCATTCTTTTTATGTTATTATAAATGGAGTTTTTTAAATTTCATCGGCAGATTTTTCATCACGTGTAGAAACACTTTTGTATATTGATCTTGCATTTTTGTTGGTTTGTTTGTTTGGTTGTTTTTCTGAGGCAAACTTTCTCTATCAGTCCTGGCTATCCTGGAACTTGCTCTGTACCAGGCTGGCCTCGAACGCACAGAGATCCGCCTGCCTCTGCCTCTGGAGTGCTGGGATTAAAGGCGTGTGCCACCACCACCTGACAATCTTGCATCTTTTAAATTTGCAGAACTCATTCTTTCAATAGTGTGTGCCTGTGGATTTTTTATTGTTGTTTGTTTGTATTTAAGACTTCTTAGGGAGGCTGGAAATATAGCTCAGTTGCACAAAATCAAGTCTGACTACCATTACCAAGTAAATTAAGCTTGGTCACACACATCCATAGATGAAGGCAAGAGGAACATTCAAAATCACTCAAAAGCAGTTCCCCTGGACTTTGTGTACACAGTAATAGATCATCTACAAAGAAAGGTGATTTTGCATCTTTTCCAGTTTTCTTTTTTAGACATCAAATTGTCCTCATATAGAAACTGCAATGAGAAAAATTTACAGAGGAATACAGGATCATGAGGGAACATGACATGACAATCTCTCACCTCTGAGTTTCCTTGTTTCTGGAAAGTCATATTTCCTTGCTCTTAACTGTAGATCACTCAAGTCACTTGAGTAGTTAAGAACTGTTAAAGGTATCATAAGATGGAAATTTTTCTGAGGGTGCTTATGAAACCCCTCGCCTCATTTTTTTGGTACTCCCAATGAAGGTCAACTTCAATGGGGTGGTTTTGTTTCGTTAGGTTTCTGTTGTTGCGGTTTGTGTGTTTGTTTGAGACAGGCTGGCCTTGAACTCTCCATGTATCTATCTGGTGCTGACCTTGGATTCCTAATTTCCCACTCGGTGTACCTCCCAGGTTCTGGGATTAGAGGCCTCTGCTAAATTTCAATGCTTTTAACTGACTGTTGGGGCTTACTAAAGGAGTTCGAAAAGTAGGGTCGAAGATGTGGGTGTGCCCTTGTGCAGAGCCACGTGACTGAAGCCTTGTGTCACGTGACTGAAACCATGTCAGTCGTTCTAAGGACGCTTCTGAATGTTTGAAGGTGAATGCATGCTCAACTTGCTCTGTTGAGTGACAGATTTTTAAATTTGCAGAACGATCATAATTAGTATTTTTTTTTTTTTTTTTTTGGTTTTTCGAGACAGGGTTTCTCTGTGTAGCTTTGCGCCTTTCCTGGAACTCGCTTTGGAGACCAGGCTGGCCTCGAACTCACAGAGATCCGCCTGGCTCTGCCTCCCGAGTGCTGGGATTAAAGGCGTGCGCCACCACCGCCCGGCTCATAATTAGTATTTTGACTAGGCAAATATGCTCAAGTAGTTCGAAATGCTGAATGTGCAAAAGGGAGCCGGGCTCATAGCTCAGTGACAGTATATCTGGCTAGTATAAAGTCTATGTTTTGTTCCGTCCCCAGAAGCACGGAGGGCTGGGGTGCGGAGGACACAACCAACCCAGACCCCAAAGGTCCAAAGGAGCATTCGATGAAGTTCCCCTTAGTTTCCTCAGTTTCCCCACCCGCCAAGGAGCAACCAGTAAAGCCAGCCTAATGTGTACCTTTTTTTAGACAATGTGTACATATACAAGCGAATATGTATAAGACTGTGGTAGCCAAAATAACAGCTTCCAGAAGTCCTTGGCCTGTTTTCTAACCTGTGAACACCCTACCTCCCATGGAATAAAGGGGTTCTACCGAGGTGACCTGAGATGGCCAGATTGGTTATCCAGGTGGACTCAACTTAATCACATAAATTATTAGAAGCAGAACACCCTTCCTAGCTGTGTTAGAGAGGTTTGATGAAGAAGTGAGATCTCGTCAGGGAAGCACAGTGAAGGTCGGCTGAACTTGAATATGGGGGACTTCCAGGTCCAGAAAACAGGCAGCCTATGTAACATGGAGAAAGCAAAGACTCCCACTCTCTCTCTCAGAGCCTCCGGGAGGGGAGGAAGCCCACATCTCAATTTTAGCCTAGTGAGGTTAGGATCAGAGTCTGGCTTACAGAACCACAAGTCAATAAATCTTTGCTGGTTAGAGTTTGTAGCTCGTCACCACCAAAATAGAACCCCTTACGATAAGCTTTTATTGTTATACGAAAGGCCGTTTAAATACACCCCACCTCAAACCTGGCTCTTTGCTCCTTCTTCTTTGGATACCTTCAAGATAATTGCATAGACCTTTTTAAAAGGGGGGTGTTTAAAGTGTCATCAGATAGATGCACCATCTGTTATTTCCCCAGCCCCTCACTGGACTGTTTCCTGCCTTTTACTGTGACAGACAGAGATACAACAGATAACCTTATACACACACATCATTTTTTTTTTTACAGCAGGAGATACAGTCCCAGAAGTTCAATTGCTAGGCTGCAGAGCATGTGCTTTTAGTTTTGCTCAATAGTACCAAGCTGCCCTCTGCAGAGGTTTCAGTAAACCAACACCAAGCGGTTGCTACAGCCAGCATGTCTGAGTTACACCCAATTCAAAGATGCCTTGTAGAATTATCAGCTGTTGGAGGTGGAAGGTGTTTTCCAGCCACCAGATAATCCCTTCCTTTCACAGAGGCTGGAATTTCACACAGGTTTTGACTGAAGAGACTCTGAGGACATATCTAAATAAAGAGCCCCTTGAGGAATAGAATGTGGCATACAACCAGTACCCGCATACCCATTCACTTCTTCTCATTTGAAACACTAGCTTGCCCAGCTGGCTGGGAATGATGCAGCCCATTTGGCCCGGTTTCCCCTGGAAAGGGCTCTGCTTCTAAGAGGACAATGGGAGAGAGCCAGCAGGTCCCCAGAGAGCCCCTGGGTTTTGCCCTGCTTCTTCTTCTTGTCTGTGCAGTATCTTGGAAGGTGGTATGAAATCGAGAAGATCCCATCGAGCTTTGAGAGAGGGGACTGCAATCAAGCCAACTACTTGCTGATGGAGAATGGCAACATCAAAATGGTAAACCAGGAGAGGAGGTGAGTGAGCGACCGCGTGTCCTCCTGGGACGGCCTTGTTCTGTGCTCAGGGGCGGGGAGAGGGCGCGTGTGTGTTACTCAGGCTAGGCAGGGTGGTCGGGACTGGAGTGCCTGTGTTCTCTGCTTTAACCGCTCCTGAGCACCTGCCGAATACCAGATGCTGAGAGAGACAGCGGGGAGTCAACAGTAATTCAGCCAGCACCCCTGACGTCATCGCCAAACGGGGACTCTGGTAGCAGAGGACGTTAGGCTGCCTTGTCTGGCCTCCAAACCAAGAGAGAGGCCCTTTCTGTCCATTTACTCACTGAGGCCATCAAGTTTTGTTGAACACTTCTGGGAACTTGCGGCTCATTTTATCCCATGGCCGTTTATCCCACTTCCAGTCCGCTTCCCTGCTAGGGACCTCCCCACCCTTTGCTCTCAGTTTTCTCTCTTTCCTTCTTTTGAGTCAGGATCTTATGTAGCCCAGGCTGGTCTCCAACTCACTGTGTAGCCGAGGATGTTCCGGAATTTCTGATCCTTCTTAGCGCTGGGATTACAAGTGTGCTCCGCCAAGCCTTGTTGGTGCAGTGCTAATGTTCACCCAGGGCCTTTTGTATGCTAAGAAGCACCCTACTGAATGAGACGCATCTCCAGTCCCAGGCACCTCCTTTTCTTGCTAAGCCAGCATCAGATACATGTACTCTCTAGCTGATGTCAACAGGATGCCTTTTAGAAGTATGGACTTCTATCACTAAGTGCACTGGACATGGATATTCAATCTAAAACTTTTCGCTCTGGAGAGCAGACATGAAGAGACCCAGGATGAGGTCCTTCTTGCTTACCCTCCACCAACAAACGTTACATCACCAACAAATACATTTAAGTATTTCCTGTATGCAAGGCACTCCCTCTGCCCCTGAAAATATATTTATTTAATCCCCATGACATAGCAAAAATAGATACTGTTACAAACCTCACGGATGAGACAATTTAGGTCCAGAGAAGTTAAGCACCTTGTTCAGGGATCATACAACTGACACATGATGAAGCTTAGGTTTGGACCCAGGAGACGGGACCCAAGAGACCAAGTGTAAAAAGGCTGGTGGGTGAAGGGGTGTTCTTTCTGTTCCATACAAGATCTGAGGACGGTATTCAACTCCAAAAAAACAACCACCCACAGCCCTCAAGTCACTGGGTCCACAGAGGCTCTCTGTGTCCCCCATACCATCCACTCAATTCCCTGTGGGCCAGAGCCCAGCCAGTGACTCCCATCCTGCGGAAACCAGAGGGAGGAGGGAAGGAAGGAAGGAAGGGAAGAAGGCAGGCAGGCAGGCAGGCAGGCAGGCGCTTGAGGGCCTCTGACAGAACTCCAGCTCCTTTTGGAGCCCCAGGGGAGGGCTGCATGAAGGGTTGACTGCAGGGATTGAAATGCCTTTGCTGGGAATCTCCCAGGAATTTTACAGGCCCTGTATTAGTAAGTGCCTTCTCCTCACAGTGGAATTCCAGAGAAAAGGGTTATTTGGGCCATCGTTCAGGAGGTTCCATCTGGAACCAAGGAGCCTTATTCCTTGAGCTTCTGGTGAAGTGGGCACAGCATGGTGGGAACATGGGGTAGAAAAAAAACAATTCACCCCAGGAGGGAGGAAAGAGAAACAGGGTCCCACAATCCTCTTTGAAGGCACACCCCCAGGGATGTAAGGATCTCTTCCCAGTCTCAACTCCACCGTAACAGCACCACCCTGGGGACCAAATCTTTACCCGGTCCTTTGGGGGGACATATATCCAGACTATAGCAGGCAGGAGAGTTCTAATGACCTCTTTTCTTTGTATTTTATTTTGGTTTTTTAAGACAGGGTTTCTCAGTGTAGCCCTGGCTGTACTGGAACTCACTCTGTAGACCTGGCTGGCCTCAGACTCAGACTCAGAGATCCACCTGCCTCTGCCTGCTGAGTGCTGAGATGAAAGGTGTGTGCCACCTCCACCTGGCAGTGAAATATCATGTCCCATTAGGTACCAAACCCATGAAGTCCACACATAGGGAGCTGGGATTCTCAGCCCGTGTTCAAGGACTTGGGGCCCAGAAGAGCTGGCCTTGTGCTGGAAGAGTGAAGGGATAAGGCCTTGCCACTTGGCTGCCTGGTTCTAGGTTAGCTAGTCTGTAGCCAGCAGCAACAGAAGAACCATCCCTGAGGCTGTCCGGGCATCAAAGGAGGTAAAAGGTGTAAAGCTGTTACAGCAGTGTTTGGCATGTGGCAATCATCGAATAAGCATGACCTTTCAATGGCTGAACTCCCGCCACTTGAAAACGCAGATTGGAGCCGGTGGGATGCCTCAGTAGGCAAAGGCGCCTGCCGCCAAGCCGGGTCCCCCGAGTACCCTCTGACCTACACACTAGTGTCATGATAGAAGTATGCGCCACAGACACTAAACAAATGGAACAAAAATAATATTTTAAAGAAAATACAAATGCATTTTTCCCATGAGCACGTTGCGCCTTTATGATCAGAGACTGGCGTTCAGAGAACTATTCTGGAACAAGACACAAGTGATGGTGGAGAGGAGAAGAGCCTGGTTTGTTGCTAAGTTACCATTTGCAGATGGAAGCAAACCGTCTTCTAGGGGAGGCGGCAGGGCATGGTGCCTGGCCCTGCATGGTGACAGCCGATGCAGTCAGGAATAGGAGAGCACCTTTTCCAACCTCCCTTACCTGCAGCTTTGGCTCTGGTTTCAGAGCAGCACCCCTGTAAGAGGATTTTCCTGTCCCTCCTGCCAGCTCCCAAATCACGACATAGATGGAGACTTACTATTATCAAAGCTCGGCCGATAGCTTAGGCTTGTTTTTAACTAGCTCTTATAACTTAAATTAACCCGTGTTTTTAGTAACCTACATTCTACCATGTGACTTTTACCTCTCCCCCATTTTGGGTGTCTGACCAGTTCAGCCTCTGGCTGGCTTCTCCGCCCTTCTTCTTCTTCCTGGCGTTCTCTGTGCCTGGAAATCCTGCATAGCTATTGGCTCTTTGGCTTTTTGTTAAACCAGTCTGAGTGATACATATTCACACTGTACAAAAAGATTATCCCACAACACGTCCCTCACTGCTAACTATAGCGCTAACCTGCTGACTTCCTCACACATACTTAGCTCTCACGGTTGCCCTTCTTGAGGACTGACAGGCAGGCAGCCACTTTGCCCTCTCCTGAAGAGGAACAGTCATGTCTAGGCACCCCCCCCCTTCTCTGGCCTCTTCCTCAAGGCTTTGCCCTGGCCTCTGGGTTCCTGAGGTCATTGGGAGTTAGTCCGAAATGGGCCAGGTCCTTGGGAAGGGTCTGAGTACTTCCTTGGTTCTGAGACCAGCACATTTAAGATATGCCACCATTTTATATACCACTAAGAGAGAACGGCTCTGCCACCACTAAGTGTTGGGGGACCAATTATAAGATGTGTGTTTTTCCACAATAATGTCTCTGAGAACGGGACTTGTCTCGGAAGCACAATGGCCAGGTCTCCTCCTGGCCTCTGTGACAACCGGCTCAGTTTCAAAATCTCCCACGCTCACTTGGACACTAGCTGAACTGGAGGGGTTTTCAGACCTCAGGCCCCTCGATGGGACAAATCGGAAGATGTTGCTACATTTGTCCCTGCAACAAAGGGGTGATGGGAAGTGCCTCCAGACCCCTTCCCCGCTTTGCATTATTTTCAGTGATCTAGTTCCTCCTTCCTCCATTTCTTCGTCATCCTCTCCTCTGTAAAGAGATGAGTCTCGTAGGGGGTTGTTTTCTCTAATTTCTCATCCCCCTTTATGCCCTCTCTTTGAAGCCTGGGAGCAGGAAGTGCCTGAAAGGCAAACAGCAAACATAAAAAACCAGTGTGGAATTGCAAGGGCCTAGCGTAGAACCCAAACCCTAGGCATTGTCAAAGTGGCTTCTCGTTCACAAACGCTGCCGCCGTCTTCCTCCACTGAATCTCAGACAGTCACAGAGGGAAGGGCAGGGTCTGGAACCAGGTCTGGCCGGCCTTTCAAGAGCCTCTTAGACCAGACGCCACTGCCACCCCGCTGGCGGTCAGAGCCCTTTGGGCACAAAGCTTGACTTTCATTGGTTTGGAGTTTTCAATGAGTTGTTTTTCCTTCCTTTCCCATATCTGTTTTCCTTTCCTTGTTTCTTTTCTCTCTCTCTCTCTTTTTTTTTCCCTCTCACTTTAGACCCGACGGAACCATGAACCAAGTCGAAGGGGAAGCCAAACACACCAACCTCTCCGAGCCAGCCAAGCTCCTAGTCAAGTTTTTTGAGTGTAAGTATCCACTTCCCTCTGGAGATGTGTAGCTAGAAAGCCGGAGCCCTGTGTTCACACGCCTCTGAGTGCTGTCATCCGGGTTCAAGTCAATGCACAATTATTCAGTGCACACCTACTATGTTCCCTGGGCTAGGCACCGGGATGCACAGGGGTGCGGTGATGGGCAAGACAGAGCTGGCCCCGTCCTTCCAGGCTGGCATCCCAGGTGGACCCTGAGGCGGTGCCAGGAAACTCCCTCGGCGTTCCAGGGGGCGAGGCCCGCAGAGAGACATACAAGGCATGAGTAGGAGGCGGGATCCAGTCTGATCTCATGGGAAACAGAAGCCCCCAAATCACCAGATGTTAGGAGAACAATCCACCTGTGCAGAAGCTCGCAGGCAGGAGGCGACAAGCGAGAGGAAGGCAAGCCGGACTCTGCAGCTCTCCGGTCTCTCTGTTCTGCCCTCTGAGTTCCGGTCTAACTTAGCAAGGTGCACGCACGGCAGCCGAGAGAGAGAGAGGAGTTCGTTTGGTTGTCTCTGTAGATGCACTGGAGAACTCAGCTCAGACCTCTGAGGTTTTCTCATGCTGGAAACGCTTGGGAGGCCCCTCTCCCTACCAGTAGGGCAGATGCTGACAGTCACTCCCCCCTCCCCTCTCCCCTCTCTCCCACCCCCATCCTCCTCCCTGCCACATCCCCCTCCACCTCCCACCCCATCCCCCAGTCCCACAACCAGTCAAGTCCCTAAAGTGGGTCAGAGAGGAAGTTCTTCGTAGCCCTGACTGTTCTAGAACTAGCTATGTAGACCAAGGTGGCCTCGAACTCACAAAGACCTGCCTGCCTCTGCCTCTCGAGTACAGGTTTAAAGACGTGCGCCACCGCCACCACCACCACCACTGGGCACCATGTCACATTCTTAAAGCTGAAGGTTTTGTTAAGATTATCCAGGAAGGAAAACCCAAACACATTCGCCTCTGCTTCTTCACTCGGGGTGGTGGACTTGAACCTTGGGCCCTCGCCATGCATTCCTGACCCTCCTTGCTAAATGCATCTCCATGCGTCAGCGTCACCTAAGGAGGCTGTCTGAATCCCCAGTCATCCTGTGTGCCTTTTCCATGATGCTGTCAGAGCGGGGAGGACATAATAATGGTTCCTGACTATGGCCACACACTAGAGTCACTGGGGAATTTTGTTGGTGTTCTTTTTAAATACCAAGCATGGTGGTACATTCCTATAATCCCAGCACCGAGGAGGCCAAGGAAGGAGGAATACTAGTTATAGGTCAGCCTGAGCTTTATGATTAGAGTCTATCTCAAGATTAAGAGGTGGCCGGTGACATGGCTCGGTGGATAAAGCGTTTGCCGTTGGAGCCTGAGGATCTGAGTTGGATCCCTGGAACCCACCTAAAGCTAGAGAGAACTAACTCCACAAATGTCCTCTGACCTCCACATGTAAGTCATGACATGTGCCCCCTGTCCCCATCACACACACACACACACACACACACACACACACACACACACACACACACTAAAAATAATTTTTTTTAAAGAAGTCCAGCCACTTGAAGGTCCGAAGCTGGAGAAGGGTGGGCTTAATAGCTCTCACAACCCCCATGTTTCCCATGTGAAGCACCAACTCAGTGGGTCCCCAGAGCCCCAGAGAGGACGCTTCCCTTGCCCTGGTCCTTCCTCATGCTCTGCCTCTGGTTCTCAGTGACGCCAGCCACACCGTACTGGATCCTGATCACTGATTATGTGAACTACGCTCTTGTGTACTCCTGTACCACCATCATCTGGCTCTTCCACGTGGATTATATTTGGATCCTGGGAAGAAACCCTTATCTTCCTCCAGAAACAGTAACCTACCTGAAAGATATCCTTATTTCTAACGGTATCGACACCCAAAAAATGATAAGCACTGATCAAACGAACTGCCCTGAATTCCCGTAAAGGGAGGGACAGGCACTCTGGGTTACTTCTATGCTTTGCGTCCCCTGGCTCCACCCCAGCTCCTCATGAAGACAAACCAAGCAACTGTGACAAGTACCAGAGGGAAAGTTTGGCTATAGAAGCCAGTGGAGGGGCCTCAGGGGAAGTTGATCCAAACCCAGCCAGATCTCAAACTGTCACCCCGCCACCGCTAGCCCAGTAATAAACATTTTGCTGATCAGCTGTGTTCACAGTGGATTCTGAGTTAGGGTTATTGTGGGAGATTCATTAGAAGCAGATGGTGGGAAACCCTTCAGCAGCTGTGTTTAGGAAAACAGTTCTGAACTGTCCTAATTTAAAGGTAGGAGAACGCTGATGGCAAAGTCAGAGTCTGCTGACCGACTCAGGGTCCCACTGCACAGCAGATACCCCTCTGGAGGGAATCCTGGGAGGCTTTCATTTCTGTCTGGAGGCTTCCTTGAAGTTACTTTCTCATGGGGAAGTCTTCGGAGTGGAGCTGAAGAATGAGAGTCCTGGGAGGGTCTATGAGACGAGGAGACTCTGTGAGGGGAAGACAAAGAGATTTTAAAAACGATGCAAAATTTTCTCTTTCATTCCGTTGGTGTTTACTGAGGTCCAATTGCATTCCAGTCACTGAAAAATCCAGATTTCCCTGCCCCTCCACCCCAGAAGCTTCAGACCTGTGAGACAGACATCACGACAGAGGGCACCATGGGAAATCTGAGAACATCCCACCCCCTTCAAGACACAGGGTCAAGCTTACACAGTCTGTCTAAAAGCCTCGAGGGCATTCCCATGCCCTGGCTCCACTAGGAAGTCAGGAACCACCTGGTGGTGTGTGTTCTGACCACGTGACTTTTAAAATCAACTGACCTCAGATTTATCACTCTGCAAGTTCACTTAGTTCTTGTGTAGAATAGATATTGTATATGTTAATATATACAATTCTCGTTTAATTAAGGAAAAATAAACTCAAAATGTAGCTTCCAATTCACAATTCAAAAAGCCTGAAAACCACTGGGCAAAAAGATAATAAGGGGGTTGAGTGTAGTCAGCTGCTTTTCCTCCAGCACTGCCTGCGGTGTCCTGGGTATGGCACCGCACTGTGCGCCCAAGGCACTCGGCTACTCTTCTAGAATACAGTGATTCCTCAGAGGGCTAAGCTTGCGGTCACCTGCTATCTCATCATAAAAACTAGATTGTGTAGCCAGTGAGATGGCTCAGCTGGCCAAGGCACCCGCCACCAAGCCCACGGACCTGAGTGTGATCCCTGGGACCCACTTGGTAGAAGGAAAGCACCAACTCCAGCAAGTTGCCCTCTGACCACACACCCGTTGAGGAATGCACGTGCCTACATACAAACAGACACACACATAATAAATAAATGAGAATGTCAAAAGCAGCTGTGATTTTTTTTCTTCTTAGAAGTGCCCTGGCAGTATCTGCCTGAGCGGGGGGGGGGGGGGGGGGGGGGGGGGGGGGGGGGGGGGGGAGGAGGCCTGTAAGAAACACAGAGCAAAATAAAGACGACAGTACACACACTAAGCCCAGCACAGCCATCATTAGCTCTAACCTTCGTCAAGGTATCACCAGTCTAGTTCAGACTCAGTTCAGAGATGATTCTATGACACATTATCCCCCCCCCCCCTCCACCCTGGAGTGTTTATAAAGCAAACCCCAGTTATCACAGCTCATCACTTGGCCTAAAACTACCTACGCGTACATCTCTGGTGGATATATGCACGTGTAAAACAAAAATATTGCAAGTATGGCTTATGGCCTGGAGGTATTCCGAGAATGTAATCTCTACGTAGTCTTAAGAATATTTGACATACTTTAGGTGAAAGGGAAGATGTGTGAACAGAAATGTTCATGGTTTTATTTGTGTCAGCCCCAGATGGAAAGCGATGATACTAAGACAGCAAGGGATCCTGGGTTATAGAACAGCTGTTCGATATCAGCCACATGTTCGTGAAAATGTGAGAACTACATAGTCACACGGGGAGTTGCTGCTCTATGTGTGGGGATTTGGGAGGTCCCTGCTGGTGGCCTTGCAGCTGTGCAGGCACAGAGCAAGTGACTCTACCTCAGTAGCCACAGCCAGCTGAGCCGAGGGGTGTCTACCTGAGCTAGGGGCCACCAGTCTACAGTCTGCTCAGCCTAGCTAACTGCATGGAAGAGACATGAAGAGATCTGGAGGCAGAGCTCAGTGGTACAGTGTAAGGACCTGGATTCAGTTCTCAGCTTCTGAAAATAAATAAAGAAAAGCCCGAGAGGTTTGGAATGCTGGAGAGCTGTAAGATCTCATAGTTGGCAGGGATGGTTACTGGTGATAGGCAGTGGAAGTTGTGAGAGTACAGAGCACAGACACGGCTGTCAGAGGAGACCTTCCGCTCACCCAGGCTCCTCACAGCAGCTTCAGTTGCCCGTGGTTTTCCACGTCCCAGCCCAATTCCTGTGAAGCTTGGCTGACTTAGTTCCTTACTTCCTGCCCTTGGATTTCTGCAGGATTAGGCATGTCTGCACACACACACACACACACACACACACACACACACACACACACACACACACGGTGAGACAGAGCACATACTTACACACATAGCACACACACATACACACACATACACACACACACGGCTGGGGGTGAGGGGGGGGTAGAGCACATGCACACAGCACACAGACACACACACACACACACACACACACACACACACACACACACACAGACACACACACACACACACACACACTGCCTTACCTTTTTATTCTGAGATAATTTGACTTGACTGAGTAAATGTTCCCTGCAACCAAAATAGCCTCAAGACAAAAGAGTTAATAATATAATGTTGCGTGGAAAAAAGAAAGCAGCAGTTTAACTATGTAGTATTTATAGCCACATGGAATAATGTCATTAAATCAAGTACTAAGAGTGAACAAAGAAAATGAAAGCAATTAAGTGTTAGGATGGTAGAATTATGGGTAGTTCTTATTTTTTGTGGCTGCTATTTGTAGCATAAGCTCTAAGATACATACAAACCCTAAGACTTTGTTTTAGTCTAACCCGATCCTCTGGAAAGTATAATGTCAAAGCCCCAAATGAGCCTCCCCTTCCCAGAACTGCCTCAGATGCGAAGGCCTTCCAGAACTATACTCATGTTCGAAGGTAAGGGCATCATTTGTAAATATAAGGTATGTTATATTTAAAATTTTTCACTTACTAAAGCAATTACTATTTACTAACAGTGAGGACCCTTACTCATTTCCAGAAGACATAAAGGGAGATATCAAGTAATTTAGACAGTTTTTATTTCCACTAATTAGCTAAACACTGTTTTCTTTTATGACAGACTTTCCCCCAAAGAAACCATCTTAGCTTGATAATTATAAGTAACTGGAGGCTTCCAGTATTCGTTAAATATGGTCAGTTTTTGTGCTAAAATTCAATATTTCACTGAGTTATGACAGTAAAGTAGATTCAAGAGCTACGTAATGTTTTCCCACAGGAAAGGTGATGTGAGCTCATTAGAAATGGCCAGGAGCAGGGAGACGGGAAGCCCGGGGTGGGTGGGATGGGGGCTAGCCTTGACTCCTCGGTCCAGCAGATTCGCTCAGGATTCTTCTACAGTATTATGGTGTTGGACAATAAGCAAATTGTTGCTGAGAGAGTACCTCTATTTTTTTTGGGGAAAAGAATCCCAATGTATTTATAAAATGACTGCCAGGCATATGCCTATAATCCCAGCACTGAGTAGGCTGAGGCAGGTGGATCAGAATATTCAAGGCTAGCCTAGGCTACATAGTGAGAACTTGTATTGGAAAGCAACATCAAACAACTAAAAGACTAAACTTTTGCATTGCTTTGCATTGTCTTCAAGGCCTTATCCACATATATGGTTTACCAAATCATTGTGCAGTGTGCTGATGTATGTATTTCTTATAGGAGTAAATAACTTTATTCCTGCTACATGTTATATTCTATAGACTGCAAACTTTGCATTGTTCTCTTCCAAGGTTTCTTAGTCTGTTAACAGTAAGTGAAGTATAAAAATGTAAGCCTTCAGCCAACTCTTTTTATTTTGTTTCGTTTTGTTTTTTTGAAACATGGTCTCTCCATGTAGCTTTGGCTGTCCTGGAACTTGCCTTGTAGACCAAGGCTAGCCCTGAATTCACAGGGATCTGCCTGCCTCTGCCAACCAAATACTTGGATTAAAAATGTGTGCCACCACACCTGGCTAAACCAATTCTTTTTTAAATGCTTATTTATTTGTGTGTGTGTGTGTGTGTGTGTGTGTGTGTGTGTGTGTGTGTGTGTGTGTGTGGTCTGTGTGCACATGTGTGTGCCTGTGAGTACACATGGGGGCCAGAAGAGGGTATTGGGTGCCCTCCTCTAGTATTCCCCACTTTATTCCTTTGAGGCAGGGTCTCTCCCTGTGACTGACACTCACAGTTTTTGGCTAGGCTGGCAGTCTGCAGCCATCCTCTTGTCTCCATCATCCCCGGTACTGGGTTTGCAGTGTGTACATGAGACCAGTAATTGCGTGGGTGACAGGATCTGAACTCAAGTCCTCACGATTGCACGGGAAAGACACTTGACAACTGAGCAGTCTTCTCCTCTCTAAGCCCCATCAACCCAATTCTTTAGCATCTTCAGTATACCCGGAAACTCAGAGATAGCAATGGCGCACACCTTCAATCCCAGGAGGCAGAGGCCATCGGATCTCTGTGAGTTCAAGGCCAGCCTGGTCTACAAAGTGAGTTCCAGGACAGCCAGTGCTCCACAGAGAAATCCTGTCTCAAAGAAAAAGGCAGGCCAGGCGGTGGTGGTGCACGCCTTTAATCCCAGCACTCGGGAGGCAGAGGCAGGCGGATCTTTGTGAGTTCAAGGCCAGCCTGGTCTACAGAGCGAGATCCAGGAAAGGTGCAAAGCTACACAGAGAAACCCTGTCTGGAAAAACCAAAAGAAAAAAAAGAAGAAAAAGAAAAAAGAAAAAGGCAGGGAGGGCGGAAGGGACTTGAGATAAGAGCTGCCAGATGCTGGAGTTCAATGATGTGGTGTAGTCAAGAATGGAAACTTTATCCACAAATATCTTAGGTCAAAAGAAGGGGAACCAGGGAGGTGGTGACCCAACAGTACACCATCAACATTCGTCAAGATATGCATGCAGTGGGCTTCAAGAAGCATGCCCCTGGGAACATTTCCACAAATACCTAGGGTATCCAGATGTATGCAAACATACCAGGCTCAATAGAGCTAGCTGGGCTAAAAGGAATAAAAAAAATGTCCCATACTATATTCATGTGTGCTTGTCCAGAAAACATAATAAGGATGAAGATTCTCCAAGCAGGCACTATGCATTGATTACATAGCTATCTGAGACCGTTCAAAAGAAGTAACCCATTTGTCTATGTCAGCATTAACTGTCAATTTGGCACAGCCTAGAGTCCTCTGAGAGGACACTCTCAATTAAAGAACTCCTTAGAGCAGATTGGGCTGTGGGTATGTGCGGGGGAGTGTGTCTTGATTATTAATTGGTACAGAAGGACTCAGCGCTCTCGGGGCACCACAGTTCCCCAGGGAGGCCGTCCCAGACTGTATAAGAGTACTAGCTAAGCGTGACCCTTGGAGTAACCTAGCAAGCCACAAGCCTCCATTGTTTCTGCTTCAGGTTTCTTTGGAGTTCCTGCCCTGACTTCCTCCATGATGGATGGTGACCTGGAACTGTATGCCAAATAAAATCTTTCCTCCCCTAAGACGCTTTGGGTCATAGTGTTTGTCAAAGCAAGAGAGTGAAACTAGAACACCACTGATTATTGAATAGCTATTAAATTATGTGTGTGCATGTACGTGTGCATATGCACACACACACACACACACACACACACGAGAGAGAGAGAGAGAGAGAGAGAGAGAGAGAAGAGAGAGAGAGAGAGAGAGAGAGAGAGAGCGTTTTACACTTCTGTTGTACTGTCTTACATCCTTTTGGATGTGGGGCATTTCTATAAGGTTCGGTCCAAGCCTGACTCTCGCTATTTTAAAGTTCCTGTGAGTAGTTTGTTTGTTTTGTTTTGATTTGATTTGATTTATTTTTGAGACAGGGTCCCACTCTCTAGTCTAGGCTGGTGTAGAACTCACTATGTACCCATGCTGACCTCGAACTTACAGAAATCCTCCTGTCCTATCCACCCAAGCGCTAGGGCTGAAGGTGCCACCACACCCAGCTTGTGAGTCTGTTTTTGGACTATATATAAAATATATAATAATAGTTACAGTGTTAAATGAGTGGTCTCTTCCAAAACTGTACACTAATGGAAGACCAAAGTGCCCACCCCCATCAAAAAGAAAACACAGAAGGAATTTAAAGACCACATGATTGGATGCTAACTTCTAGCAGCTCCCAGCATTGTGAACTCGTCAGTAGGGAAAAATTCCAAACATCTTACGCAGCCAGTCACCAGCTCCACCTGCTTGCCATCCAAGTCTTCTGCTTCCCACCCCTCCCAGGTCAAAGTCACTGCCAGTGGTCTGAGTCAGCTCCATCTCCACGAGGTGACAGGTGGGCTCAAGCTCCCTGGCCAGCTTGAGCAGAACTGGAAGAAGCAGGCGGCTACTCCTTTGCCAGGGCGTTATAGCTGTGACTAAGTGGGTGTTTCTTCCTTGCCTGCAGCCTGGTCTCAGTGTACAAACCACAGAGTCAGGGAACTTGCCTGCATCCTCTCTCCAAATTGAGGGAGTGGTTGGTAATGCCCAGGACCAAGCCATTGCCAGATGCTGTGGGAATCTACCAAGCTGAGGCTGACATAATGCATTTTTCTGAGAGGCGTTTTGTCAACAGATGGTAATATGCACTGGAGGGCACCTAGCTGAGTCATTTTTGCACCTACAAATTACTAATAATTACCTTGGTAGGCTGGAAGCTGCGTTGTTGGCATTTTGTTAAGTCTCAGCTTGGATGACAGACACCTCAGGAAGCATCTACCTAAAAGTGGTTGCCCTAGGAACTTTCTAGCACTTCCTCCTTTTGATTTCTTTATCACTTCTCATAAGCCTTAGTTATCAAATTACTATTTGCTTATATAGTTATTGTTCATGTCGTCTACTAGAACGCAGCTTCCCAAAGCAGCAACCCTACTTTTCTGTGCTCTTATAATCTCAGAGCCTTGGACTGAGACACTCGATAAATGTTTATGGAATGAATAAATGAATGAATGAATGAATGAGAGAACAAATGGATGAGTAAATGCAGAGGCTTAAGACATGTCCCATGCCGGGCGGTGGTGGCGCACGCCTTTAATCCCAGCACTCGGGAGGCAGAGCCAGGCGGATCTCTGTGAGTTCGAGGCCAGCCTGGGCTACCAAGTGAGTCCCAGGAAAGGCGCAAAGCTACACAGAGAAACCCTGTCTCGAAAAAACCAAAAAAAAAAAAAAAAAAAAAAAAAAAAAAGACATGTCCCATGACCCAGAAAAAAAAAAAATCCATGACAGGAGTGAAAACAGAGCCTACATATAAAACGGCTATGTCCATGTGCCCAAGCACATTCGGCTGAGATAGCTGCCCTGTTACTATTCCTGGTCTGTTCTCACAACCGAGCACTGGAAAATCACCAGCTCCCTCCCATGCATTCCCTTTCTGAAAGTTCAGCCAAATGCAGTGACTTGAACCAAACTATGTTGCTCGTCGTAGTTTACAACTTGAACTTGGAGCCTGGCTTCTGCTAAGGAAGTGTTTTCCTCGTAGGATGATATTAATTTTCTTTTATAAAAAGTAATCGTTCTGGCCGGGCGGTGGTGGCGCACGCCTTTAATCCCAGCACTCGGGAGGCAGAGCCAGGTGGATCTCTGTGAGTTTGAGGCCAGCCTGGGCTACCAAGTGAGTTCCAGGAAAAGGCGCAAAGCTACACAGAGAAACCCTGTCTCGAAAAACCAAAAAAAAAAAAAAAAAAAAAAAAAAAAGTAATCGTTCTGGCCGGGCAGTGGTGGCGCATGCCTTTAATCCCAGCACTCGGAAGGCAGAGCCAGGCGGATCTCTGTGAGTTCGAGGCCAACCTGGGCTACAGAGTGAGTTCCAGGAAAGGCTCCAAAGCTACATAGAGAAACCCTGTCTCAAAAAAAAAAAAAAATTACTCCACAAACAAAACAAAATGTAAAATATAATTAAAAGTGAT